TGTGTGTGTGTGTGTGTATGTGTGTTGGGAATATGCGTATATAAAAGTGTATGAATCTTTGTATCAATTTCTCCTTATAGTGTTTCTACTGACATAAAAAATCCTCCATCAAATAGTCTACGGGGGTAAACATGCATGTTTGACTTCACAAAAAGCTGGAAACGGAGAAAGGTGTCTCGTCCGAACTTCGAGAACTAGATAACGAGACTCAAAAAAAAAAAGAAAAAAAAATGAAAATTGGGTCCCGTAACATAAAATTTGATAGAAAAAAATATAATCGTAACTAGAGATTCCAGCTAACAGGCCTAGAATTGTTTTTCTAATGTTATTGATACGTTAATGTTATTTTCATTATTGACATAATTATCATAATTGTTAGAATACTAGAAAATAAAAGATAATAATTCAGAAAATCAAAAGAGTAAATATAGGGAGGACTAAAAACTGACTCCATGGAGACTTGTAGAGCAAACAATAATTAAACAATCAATAAACAAAAAATACAGTGTTATGTATGTGCGTATGTGCATATCCACGAACTCTGGGTAGTTACTTAATGGGTTATGTCTGTGCCTTCTCGAAGCTGAATTGCAATCTAATCTTCATTACAAAATGGCTTAACCTTCAAGGGAAAAGCAAGGTATCAACGCCCTATTGCACATGCTTGGGAGTTCGAACAGCGTTTCTTCACCGGGGTGCTACCACCCCCTGGGGGCGCTGAAATCAATTTTGGGAGGGTGCTGGCAGTGCTGAATACAGGGCGGTAAACTATCCAGCTGACCACCAGCTGTGGGTGTCTGAGATTGTCCATGCTCTTTTCCCTTTCTCTGGTTTTCTTTTTCCTTTATCAACAAAGATGGCAATTGGTTTGAGCTTTGAGGAATCTGCAAAATAAATGATCGAACAGGACTTCACTTTCCCCTGTACTTCTAGTAGTTAGACGTTAACCAGAGTGGGTTAACTACCTAGAACAGACTGAGGGGCGCTGGGGCCGGAAGAGGTTCAGACGAATGGGTGTATCGTGTTATTTTCCCCTACTTGTTTAACACCATTAACAGTAAAAATATAAGAATATTCAGAAGGATTCTCTTTATCATTATCATCATCGTTGTTGTTAGTTGTTATTGTGGTTATTATTACCATCATCACTCTTATTATCATCACCACCATTTCTATTATTCATAGTACCATTGCAACTTACGTATAATAGTAGCTTATTCGCTGAGAGACGTCGATAATAGAGATGGGCGCTACTGACTTTTCGATACGATACCGAGTATTTCCCGCCGTAATATCAAAGAATCAAGTACCAATATTGAGTAATAAACTGTCACTCCACTCGACTCTGGGCCTATCTTGGCCTTATCTCAGTTCTGTTAAGAGGTCTATACAGCCTATTTGACATGCCATATCAAAGTTGCAACAGGCTAAATTTGTTTCACACACTAAGGGGCAAAGAAAGGATTGGGGTTTTACAAGAGACTTGCTTATGTGGATGTAGTTTCGTCATCATGGATGTAACGAACGCCATATAAGTTCTTCTGGTGTACCATCATCAAGTTAGGAATATGTTTTTATGGCTAAACAGACATAAGATGCAATGTCGTAATTATATATATATATATATATATATATATATATATATATATATATATATATATATATATATATATATATATGTATATATGTATATATGTATATATATATATACATCATATATATATACATACATATATATATATATATATATATATATATATATATATATATATATATATATATATTAATATATATATATATATATATATATATATATATATATATATATATATATATATATATATGTATATGTATATATATATATATATATATATATATATATATATATATATATATATTATATATATACATATATAAATATATATATATATATATATATATATATATATATATATTTATATTATATATTATATATATTATATTATATATATTATATATATATACATATATATATATTTACATATATATATATTTCCATATATGTATATATATATATATGTGTGTGTGTGTGTGTGTGTGTGTGTGTGTGTGTGTGTGTGTGTGTGTGTGTGTGTGTGTGTGTGTGTGTGTGTGTGTATTTACATTCCCCGGAGGCGAAGGAGCCCCTGGTTACGGCGGCGATCAGGATCGCTCGTGAGCAGAGGGGTAGGTTTCTTAGTTCACAAACGATTAGGAAAGAATATCGTGGAATTCTGTAGAATAAGCGAAAGAGTGGTTTCAGTAACAATAAAACTAAATAATAGGACAAGTCTATGCTCAAACCTGCAGCCACAGTGATGAAGACATAGAAATCTTCTATGAAGAAGTTCATTTAGCCAGCGTGAGAGTAAAAACCCATTTCAGAATAATTATGAGAGATTTCAATGCCAAAATAGGTAAAAAGACAAAAGGACTAGGCACTAGGAATGAGAGGAGACAAATGATAATCGATTTTGCGGAGGCTCGATCTCTCAGTGTTTATAATACATTCTTCGAAAAAAGACTAGAGCGGAAGTGGACATGGAAGTTATTAATAAACGAAAGCCGTAGTCAAATTTAGCTAACTTGAAGACCAGAGCGACAGAATTTACCCTTAACATCCAAAACAGATATTCATTTCTCAGCGACGATGATCTCAACACTGACCAAATCAACAAACAGTTCAATGACATAATAAAGGAAGCTGCACTTGAAGTAGGCGGTATGAACGTCAAGCAAAGCTCCAGCAAGCTCTCGATAGAAACTAAACAGCTTATGCAAAGACATAGGGCCATGAAAGTACCATCAAAAAGGGACAAAATATAATTCGCTGAACTAATAGAGACTATCAATAAAAAGAAGAGAGATGTACGGACATTCAGTACTCAGATAATAAATGAAACAGTGATCTCAGGTACCAGGTAATAGGGAGAAATCAAATACATGCAATTTAGAAACCAGTTGGAGAAGTGACTTATAATAAGAATGAAATCGTAAGAGTAGTGGAAGACTTTTACAGGGATCTATACAACTCAAATGAACAGCCACGGATAGAAGCGAGCGCAGTAACTAACATCACAACAGAAGAAAAAAAAATATGCGCTTAAGGGCATGAGGTGAAGGAAAACACCAGGTGAAGACGGAATTAGTATAGACCTTATATTATATGTAGGAAACATTGCAACAGAGAAACTAGCCGATTTTTTTTACAAATGTCTTCTCAACGGAAAACCTTTGAAAGCCTGGCAAAATGCAATAATTACTTTGATACATAAAAAATATTACCAAACCATAGGCCGACTTGCAGTTACTTACAAACTGTTCATAAAGTCATCACACCTCGCATCTCTGACAGTCTGGATTCTAACCAGCCTAGAGAAAAGGCAAGCTTTCTGCAGTGAATTCTCAACAAAGACCACATCCACACGCCCACCCGTATAAGGGAAAAATTAAACAAATATAGGAAACCCGTGTATGGCATTCATTAATTACGAAAAAGCATTTGACTCAGTATAAATACCAGCAGTACTAGAAGCTATTCAAAGACAGGGAGTAGAAGAGATATATTATAAAATATTGGAAGATGGGACAGCAACCATCCAGCTCCAAACGGAAACCGATAAAATGCCAATTAAAAAAGGTGTTAGGGTGATACCATCTCACCGAAATATGCCTTGAGGAAATATTCAAGAAGCTAGAATGGAACAGAAAGGGTATCAAAATAGGAGATGAATACCTAAACAACCTAAGATTTGCAGATGTTATTGTTCTCTTCAGTGAATCTGCAAATGAAATGCAGTAACTAATAAACGATCTTAATAGAGAAAGTCTGAAAGTCAGACTTAGTATGACAAGAAAAAGATGTTCAGCAACAGAGTTCAATTCGAATATATACATGTACAAGGCGAAACGCTAGAGGTAGTGGACAAGTATATGCAACTAGGGCAACTCGTACAGTCAAACACATCTAGCAAAGAGGAAATTAAGCGACACATCAGTTTAGGCTGGAGCATGAAGAGGCTCCTTGCCATTATGTCTTTAACCAATGCGTCCTCCCAGTTATGATCTATGGATCAGAATCATATGCTACAAGCAAATTACTGGCGAGGAAACTAATAAGTGCCCAGAGAGGGATGGAGAGGTTGAATTAGCTGAGAATTAGAGATCAGATGAGGACAATGTGGATCAAGCAACAGACAAGTGGAAGATGTTTGTTTGTTTACATTCTCAGACAACAGCTTGAATGGATTAGAACAAATCTCATTATGAACATTAGTCCACCATGTGTGAAATTTTGTTTCGTGCATGTTTTACAGTGTATAGATACAACATGGAGATGACTAAATATATGAGCAACATGAGGAGAGGAGAGGGATTACCTAGACTAGTAATGCTCCAAAGCAGTCAGTCTGGCAAAGAGCAACACCACAGTTGAAGTATATAGCCCACGTAATTTTCCTCACATACCTTTATCAGTTGTCTGGGACTCGAAATCAGAGGTGCATTTAACCACCATGGAATTTCTTTTCTTTGTTGCTGCTTTTCCACAGGTGTCAGCTCCTCCCTATAATTCAGCTGAGTTTATACCTCTCAGAGCCTCGTGATTATTGCCATGTCAAGAAGGTAGAAAAATACTTTCTTATACCACCTGACAAACTTGCATCTGGTCACTCAAATTACCCCCATCACCCCGACATTGTATATAGCACAACAAATCACAACATAACTGCAGAGATTCCAGCCAGAAGGATCTATTAAAGTCAATATATAGCAGACATTAGTCACACCTTGTCATGTGATCAATAAGTATGAAACCTCCACCCCTTACCTATCTTCTACCACAACCCCCACCTGTCCCCTTCCCTATCCTTATTCACTCCCTCCCCATTCCCAAACCTTCATTTTTACCCATCTAACTGCCCCTAACAAGAAATAAAGAAAATGCCAAACTATAGACATTCTCTTACTCCATGGCATGCATGTTGTGTTTATCAAACCACGACTACTGAGGTCTTGATACATATGTTGCATTACCCAGAGGGAATACCAGTAAGACCATGGAAGCAATAGTATGTTATCTGAAAGCAATGGTTTATAATTAAAGGTTATATCAAACATCAAAAATTATCATATAATAGTATTGTATTCCTGTTGCTACAGTCATATTCATAATGTAAATTTATCACTTGCTAACAAGTGAAAAAAAATTCATATGAATGATCAATACTATATGATGCACAAAATGTATTTTTACTTATACAGTTATTGTCATTCCAAATCTATTGCCTCATGATGCTACAAAAGAAGAGCATCATTCTGTTCTTTTAGTATTTTGTACAATCTATTCTTTTACATTCTCTGTTCATCTTATTGTTTTATCTTCAGGACAGACAAGTAAATAGAAAATAAATATTAGGAGAAAAGATACACATACACAAACGTGCACATCAGTGAGTATGCACACTACACACACAATCACAACCGGCTCCTTTCAGTGCCATCCTCTCCTTCATGCTCATTCCAGTCTTGAACAACGTCTTCACTCTTCGCCCCTCGCAACGCCCTTCCTGATTCGGTGAGTGAGTGGAAGGACGAGGCAGAGGACCGACGAGAGAGAGAACGATTCGAGGAAGAAGGGGAAGCAGAGCCGGCGGTCGAGTTACTGGTGGCAGCGGTGGGATCCGGGGTGAGGCGCTCAGCTTCCAGCCGCTTGTAGGATGTCTCGAAGAAGAGGATCATGACGGAGACAACCACAACCAAGTATGCCATAATCACCATCAGGGATACTGCATAATTAGAAAAGGAAAAGAGATATATATGATTTGTGTGGTAGAAGTTAACTATTAAAAGAGAGAATTGAATCATTCACTTTTCAAAGCTGCTTCTCATGAATTTCATAAAGTTGCTCATCACTTTATGATTCAGCCAGGTAGGGATGAATAAAGAGCTATGAACAAGAGTGACATCATTTAAAGTAATAGTAAGATTTTCACAGAAAATAATTATAATAATGAAGATGAAGATGGCCATGAAAAAATAAGAAATATATTGGTAACAATAGTAACAATGGCAGACGGGATTTTCACCTGTATAATCCATGGGCTCTATTTCAGCATTGCCACTCTTTGTACACGTCTCGATGTCCTCGAACTGCGGCTTCTGTTCCCGTCCCAGCAGTGTTACCAGTGCGATGATCAAGACCCCTTGGAACTGCCCTGAAGAGAGAGAGGACTTCAGTGTAAGAAAAACTTTTCATAATTTTACAAATTCTTACTATAATTCGTTTTTTTTTTCCAGTAATGTGGTATATGCGGTTGTAATTTAGTACATATATATATAATTGTTTATATACTCAATATAATGATCACTATGGTGAAGGTAGTAATGGATGCACCAGAATGTAAATAGACAGCTAGGTAGTCAGATAACCTGACAGGAAAATAATGATTAAATGTCTATCTATGTGTATACACATACTTATGCATATAACTATAGTTGCTTCCTTAAATGCATACATAAAATAAATCCACACAGAGGCGCCCACTGCTGAATCTCAGAAGCCTCCCGCAGACTTACCAGACATGAAAATAAAGGCCGTGCTGATCGACTCTTCGACGGGGTACGTTGCCTCCACCGCCAGCTCGAGGCCGATCGGGTATGCCCCGACGCCGAAGAACCCGAAGAGGCCCGTGAATGTAGCGACGAGTTCGGGTTGGCCGGGAACCATGAACATCTGGGATAACAGGAGCAGTAAGAATAAGAGGAATGATGGTAATAAAGGGTAATTGCGGTACTTATGTTAGTAATGATGACATAAGAGCATTCAGAAAATATATGCACTTCCAAAAATTCATTATATTTTCGTACAATTCATTAGCACTTTTTGAAATGAATTTCCTAACAGACCTATTTTCTCAAGCTCTGGCTGTTTTTCCTCTCCCTTCTTTCTCCTATCTCTCTTTCTTTCTCTCTCTCTCTCTCTCTCTCTCTCTCTCTCTCTCTCTCTCTCTCTCTCTCTCTCTCTCTCTCTCTCTCTCACCCACCCACCCTCACCCACCCATTCACCTCCAGCATGACGATAGCGAAGATGGTGGCCACGCCGTAGCACAACTTGGTGATGGGCGTGAAGGCCTTGGTCCTGTCCGCCGTGACGCCCGTGATGGCGGAGCCCACGAAGCCGCTCAGGATCATCGCTGCGTTCGCTATGCCGCCGAAGAGCTAAAGGGAGAGGCAGAGGGAGAAGATGAGGGTGAGACAGAGGATGAGGGAAGAAAAGAGAAAGGATGAGGAAGGAGAACAGGAAAAGGATGAGGGAGAAGAACTAGAGAAAGAAGCTGAAGATGAAGATGAGGTAGAAGAAGACGAGGAAGGGGGAGGAGAAAAAAAGGAGGAGCAGGGGGTACAGGAAGAGGTAAGATATAAGATGACGAGGAAAAAGAGGGAGACGAAGAGGACGAGGAAAAAGAGGGAGACGAAGAGGACGAGGTAAAAGGATCAGACGAAGAGGACGAGGAAAAAGAGGGAACGAAGAGGACGAGGAAAAAGAGGGAGACGAGGAGGACGAGGTAAAAGAGGGAGACGAAGAGGACGAGGTAAAAGAGGGAGACGAAGAGGACGAGGTAAAAGTGGGAGACAGAGAGGACGAGGAAAAAGAGGGAGACGAAGAGGATAAGGAAAAACACGAGGAGATTGAGTAAAGAGGAAGTAAAATGTATCCGAAGAAGGGTGGCACTTCTTTGCCTGGATGGCTGATGGTTTGCAAGAGCAATTACACTGAGCAGTTATCACGTTCAATATCTGCATGCCCCCGACCCCCTACTCACGTCAGTGTAGCCGAGCGGGCACAGCAGCTGCTGCGTGACGGTGGCGAGGGAGGAGAACAGCGCCACGCCGCAGCCCAGCGACAGCAGCAGCAGCAGGTATGGCCAGCAGGTGAAGGTCGTCTTGAGCTGCTGCAGGTACGACGCCCGCCGCACCTCCCCGTAGGCGGCACTCTGGCTGGGCGGGGTGGGGGGCTTGGAGCTGTGTGTGTGTGTGTGTGTGTGTGTGTGTGTGTGTGGGTGGGTGGGTGGGTGGGAGGGAGAGGGGGGCATGGACCAAGGGAGGGGTGAAGGGAAGGTTGTGGGGTTATGTGGGTGAATGTGTGTGCGTGTGCGTGTGCGTTTACGTGAGAGAGAGAGAAAGAGAGAGAAGCGGTTTCTGTGTCAGATACATAAAATCATAATGGCAATGATAAAGCATTAATGATAATCATAAGAGCAATAATAATAATTAGCATTAAAGCAATTGTAATGATTATAATAATAATAATAATAATAATAATGATAATAATAATGATAATAATGATAATAATAATAATAATAACAATAATAATAATAATAATAATAATAATAATAATAGCAACAACAAAGATAATGATAATGATAATGATAATGATAATCTTAATAATAATAATGATGATAATAGTAATAACAATAATAATAATGATGATGATAACAACAACAACAACAACAATAATAATAATAATAATAATAATAATAATAATAACAAGGATACTAATAATGATGATGATGATAATAATGATTATAATGATAATCAATTAATGAAAAGTAAATAGATAAACAAATAAAAATAAATAAACAAATAAACAATCAAATACAACCGCAGCTAGCCTACCTGGTAATGCAGACGATGGTGACCACCTCCGTCAGCGCCGCCAGGGCCCCGAAGACGTAGTTCAGGGTCGGGAAGTCCTCCTCGGCGGCCACGATGAGGGGCGTGGCGACCTGTGCCACCACGATGCCCAGGGGGTTGGCTGGATGGGAGTGGGGGTGGAATTTTAATGAATCTAATTTCAATTTCGTTTGATTCCATTTGTTACAGTGGATATTCTTGGTGTGACATACTGTCTGTTTCATTTATCCCCTGTGTCCAAGGAATGGCCGGGGTTACCATCCACTGGCGGCGAGGGATTCGAACGCAGGTCAGCAAGAGTGCTAGACGAGATCACTACCGCTGCACCTCACAGCACAGGAGGAAGAGCATTGCTAACGGTTATTTGTTAACGCTTATTTGTGGAAATCTAGTGAAAAAATTGTGGACTCCCAAAGTTTTTTTTTATAATCACAGCATAGAACAGGATGCACCCAGATGTGTCTTCCTTCTGCCAAGACCCCGATCAGGCCAGCGGCAAATTAGAGTCAACTATGCCTTTGCCTTGGGAGGGCGCCTTGCCCTCCCCGCCCCAGCCTCACTCCCAGGGCGAGCTTCACTCCAGCACCTTTACCCAGTGGCATGCTGGGCCCTAAACTTGGCGTTCTGTTTATCTGACTCTTGTCCGGGATTACTGCCAGGCCTTCAGGCGCTCTCCATGGGAGCCTAGCCTCGGCTGTTCTTTATCCAGTTCCTGTTATGTTTCGCGGGCTGTCACGGTCTATAGCCTACAAACATCCTAGAATTTTGTGAAGCAGTATTATGCAGTTTTAACACTATCAGACCATCACAGTGACTAAGTCTTTCCCTCAGTACAGGATTAATGGCGATACTGACTTTCCGCCAACAGAGCTTAAACCAACAGATCATCATAGATCATTTAGCCTCGCAAGCGGACACCGTGCTCTCCCACTCTCCCTCCCTCCCCTTCTCTCTCCTCTTTCCTTCCCTCCCCTCCTCTCTCCTCTTTCCTTCCCTCCCCTTCTCTCTCCTCTTTCCCTTCCTGTCCCATTACCTACCTCATTCACTCACTGGATTTCTATCACGCTCTATTCCTCCCCCCTTTCTCCCTCAACCCTCCTCCCTCTTTCCTCTTTTCCCTCACCCTCTCCTCCCTCTCTCCCTCTTTCCCTCTAACCCTCTTTTCTCTTCTCTCACTCTATTTCTTCATAGTCTCCTTCCGCTTAGGCCTATATCTCTCCCGCTATCTCTCTTCACACTTATCGTCTCCCTTTACTAGATGAGGCCAATCGCTCTCGCCTCCTAGTTCATTGCAGCTCAACTCAACTCAAAATCCCAGCTGTTTGAAAATGTCTGGCAGACAGACAGACATAAAAAGAAAGAGAGAGAGATAGACTGATAGAAAGACAAACAGGTAAGAAGAAAGAAAGCAGATAGACGGAGAGGGGGGACGGAGGGAGAGGAAGAGAAAAAGGGAGAGAAAGAGGAGGAAAGAGAGAGAGAGAGAGGGGAGGGGGGGGCAGACAAACAGACAGACAGACAGAGACAATGATAAAGAAAGCAAGATTATCAGGCTATAATTTCAGATTCTTATAGTTACTCTGGTAAACAGACCAGAAAAATCGTTGTCTTCAGATATTATAACAAAAACTAATCTAATCAATAACAAGTTGAGATTTCTCATTAAAATATGAAATGTAACAAGATCTCGAATATGTTCAGGCAGATAAATCGTTTAGGTAATGAGATAAACAGAATCTTAACATGTCACACACAATACACACATATACATACATACGTGTGTATGTACTTACATATATATGTTTATATGTATACATCATGCATATATCATATATATATATATATATATATATATATATATATATATATATATATATATATATATATATATATATATCATATATATATCATATGTATATCATATATACATATATATATATATATATATATATATATATATATATATATATATATATATATATATATATTTACATATATATATATATACACATATATATATATATATATATATATATATATATATATATATATATATATATATATATATATATATATATGTGTATATATATATATATGTAAATATATATATATATATATATATATATATATATATATATATATATATATATATGTATATATATATATATATATATATATATATATATATATATATATATATATATATATATATATATATATATATATATATATATATATATATATATATATATATATATATATATATATATATATATATATATATATATATATATATATATATATATATATATATATACATATATATATATATATATATATATATATATATATATATATATATATATATATATATATATATATATATATATATGTATATATACATATATATATATATACATACATATATATATATATATATATATATATATATATATATATATATATATATATATATACATATACATATATATACATATATATATAAATATATATATATATATATATATATATATATATATATATATATATATATATATTTACATATATCTATCTATCTATATATCTATGTATATGTGTGTGTGTGTGTGTGTGTGTGTGTGTGTGTGTGTGTGTGTGTGTGTGTGTGTGTGTGTGTGTGTGTGTGTGTGTGTGTGTGTGTGTGTGTTTATGTGTGTGTTTGTGTGTGTATGTACTGTGTATGTATATATGTGTTTGTGTGCACACAAATACATAATACCTACATGCATAAAATGAGTAAGACAGAAAGGTAATGAAAAAGAGACATTTCCATCCCGCCCTCCGCCCTGCCGGCAAGCGCCCATCATCTCGGCCAAATCTCTTCCTTATCATGTGCCTCGCCTACAGCAAGCGCACGCCAGCGGCAGATAGGGAGCCTTATCTTGGCGGATCGGCCCTAAATCCTGGAGGGCGTAATGCGCGTAACATTCATAATAGAGCGAGATAACACGGCGAGAATGAGAGAGGACAACGTTGTAACAAATACGACAAGGAGGGAGGGAGGGAGAGATTGAGAGGTAGGGAGGGAGAGAGAGGGAAGAAAGGGAGCGGGAGAGGGGGGGGAGGGAAACGGAGAGGGACTGATACCATTTCCTTGTCTTTACTTTTTACTTTCTATTTCGTTAAACTAAGCAGATTTAGTTTTCCGAGACGACCCTCAAGCATTAACACTAAGAACAGAAGCTAAAAATAGGATCTTCAATCAAGATAATAAATCCGTATCAAATAATGCATCATTTTCCTTGTACTCTGCCCTAAATATGCACTCCACCGACGCAGAAATTTCATAACGCAACAAAGGGTACATATTCTTAGAAATTCTTAGTTTCAAATCGGGCTGTATCATTCACCAAAATATGCCGAAACATGGCATAATCTGAATAACAGGGAGAATAATAGCATCAAAGTCAAAGTCATATGATTATTACTTTATTTATGACTATGACTGTGATTATGATTGTAAGATGATTGTGATAAAATATGCAAAATATAACATAGCGTTTAAGAAAGGTTCACGTGCAGCACTATCTTCACACAACTGGACAAGAGAGGTCATGGTACCGGCCTTGCTGTGGATAAGACTGGTGATATGAAATCTCAATAATATACCTGATATCAAAATACATAATTTTAATAACGTTTTTTCAAACCCAGTTACCATTGACATAACGGTGGTGGTAGATGTAAAGTAATAATATTAAATGGAGTGTACGATATATGCCTTAACGTGTAATAAGCAACAAGTAATCACCCACAGCGAGAGATCGGTGTTGGAGCCTGACACGGGTGATAGCCACCTGATTTATGGCCAGTGCTATAAAACGAGCACCATAATACGATTTAAGAAAGGGTCCTTTTCCACGAGCACCCCCCAACACAGGACGGCGGCGGAGCTTAAGACACGTAAAGATTTTGCCCCAGATGATCAGTTTATTAAAATGACGACGTCGCAGCACAGCATGCGCTGAAGAAAGGTTCCCTGCCGGGCAGCCACCTACACAGCGAGAGGACGGTGGTGGCGATGGCGCGGGCGTCCTCGGGGAACCACAGCTGGGACACCTTCGTCGGGATGAACAGGAGGAACGACTGCGCCATGCCAGCGATCGTCTGGGAGGAATAATTATTTACGGCATGAAAGAATGAATGAGTAAATAAATATGTTAATTAATGATTAAATATATGATTTTTTTAAAATAAATGAATAAACAAATAGATGAACATTAATTAATTAGTTAGTTAATAAATGTGCGCGTGTGTGTGCGTGCGCATGTGCATGTAAGCGTAAGCGTAAGTGTAAGTGTAAGTGTAAGTGTAATTTTAAGTGTGCGCTTGCATAGATGCTTTTATACGTTTTTTTTATATTTCCATCGATATACCTATATGTATATCCTCCGGCTCGTACCTGACCGGTGAGCGAGATGGCAAACTGCGCGTCCAGGTTGTCGATGACGCCAGAGGAGCCCAAGGCGCGCAGGAGGCCCCCGAGGCAGTTCAGTCCCGCCCCGATGTGGATCTAGATAATAGTAATAGCATTAGTACTAGTGCAGTAGTGGTAATATTAATAATAATGATGATAATGATGATAATGATAATAATAATAATGATAATAATAATAATAATAATAATAATAATAATAATAATAATAATAATAATAATAATAATAATAACAATATAAAATAATAATAATAATTGCCATAGTTATCCTATCACCTCCCTCCTCCCCCTCTCCCTCCCTCCCTCCTCCCTTTCCCTCTCCCTCCTTCTCCCTCCCTTCCTCTCTCCCCTCCCCTACACCCATGCCCTTCCCATTCCCTCCATATCCTGTCTCCTACTTCGCCCTCTTCCTTCTTCCTAAGCGCCCGCCTTCCGGACCTCCTTTCGTCTGTCCCTCTCCTTTCTCTTTCCTTCTCCCTCCCTCTGCGTCCCTCCCTTTCCCCTTCCTTACCTTGTTCCTCCACCTACCTCCCTTCCTCTTTCCATATCTCCTTCATGTGCCTCCATCCTTCTCGTCCTGCCTTGCTCTCAACTCCATGCCTTTCCCTCTACTTCCCTCCTTACCTTCCTCCTCTACTTCCCTCTCCCTCCCTCTCCCTCCCTCCCTCCCTCCATGCGTCTCCCTCTATTTCCCTCCCTTCCTCCTTCCCTCCCTTCCTCCTTCCCTCCCTTCCTCCTTCCCTCCCTTCCTCCTTCCCTCCCTTTCTCCCTCCCTCTCACCCTAGCGGGAATTTTTTGAAAGCTTACTCTATATTTAGCGAATTTTAAGTCCTTTTTAGCGGGAATATGATATTTTACTCTAGTGTCTAGCGGTTTTTAAAGCCCAGGCTAGCGTTTTTGTGGAAATATCAACGACAGCACTGCCCCCCCCTCCCCCCTCAACAAGAGCAAACGTGCGAGCGAGGCTGCCCACCGCCGGCCGGAGCCCGAGCCGGTTGACGCTGAAGGTGGACACGAAGCAGAAGGGAATCGACACGAACAGGAACACGAGGCTGAACCAGTTGACCTCCCACAGCTGCCGCTTGTAGTACGAGGCGACTGTGTAGGCTACGGGGGCTATGTTGATCCACAGCTGAAAAGGGAGAACAAAGGGCCTATGTAGATCCACAGCTGAAAGAGGGTAAGAAAAAGCGGGTATTGTGTTAGCTACGGGGGTTCACCCAGAAAGGAAAAGGGAGAAGGAAAGGGTTCAAGAAGAGAGGCTTGGGGAATTAAAGGACAAAGAATATTAGTGGAGAAAGTAAAGAAAGGAGGCAACGCGGGTTAGATGGATCCACAGGCGAAAGGGGGAGAAGAAAAGCGGGTAATGAGTAGGCTACGTGGGTTATGCTCATCCTGAAAAGGAAATAGGAAAAGATGAAATAAGAGAAGATGGAGTAGAGAAAAGGAAGATGGGAAAAACGGTTGAGTGAGAATGATAGAAAAATGAAAAAGGAGGAAGAAGGAAAAAATTGTGTTTGTTTGCTTGTAGGTTGAATGGATTGATACAACACAAAAACGCTTATATAATGAAGATAAATCGATAAACAAAATATCGGTATAATAAGCGAACTCTGACACTAGGCCCGAGCTCCTCACCGCCGCGTTGGAGATGTTGAGCAGCACGACGGTGACGAGGACGGCCCAGCGGCGGGGGTAGGCCACGTACTCCGCCCGCTCCTCTTTCGCTCGGCTGCCTTCTCTCGAACCTTCTGGAGCCTTGTTGGGGGCGCCCATGGCAGCTACGGCAGATGCGGCCACCTCGTTCGACATTCTGGTTGTTTTTAGTCTTTTTTACTTTGGTTCTGGAGCCTGGGGAGGAAGATAGAAGAGAAGTTTTGAGGAAAGGGGGGAGATTTTTTTTTCCACCGCGTCGAAGCTAGGGTTGTGTGTTCGGATGTGGTGGTTAGACGAGTTTTGTTGATAAATACATATGGTAGAAAAGCCCACTATGTAAAACTAGATTTATTGAAAGTGAGACAACAGTTTCGGAATCCATCTGGATTCCATCCTCAGGCCTGAGGATGGAATCCAGGTGGATTCCGAAACTGTTGTCTCACTTTCAGTAAATCTAGTTTTCCATTGTGGGTTTTTCAACCATAGTATCAACACGGTAGAGTATTTTCACCATTCATATATACATATGTTTTAGTGTTTTTCTTGTACACAGCTGTTTACTGCTTAATAGCTAAACAGTACACACTCTACATATTTTATTTTATTGACACACTGCTTTCTATCTATTCAGCTGTATATTATTTATATTCTAATTCTACTACCATAATGATGTACTGAAAACATAGAAGAAACTGATATCGACTATCGAGGAAATGTCAATGGTGTTATTTAGATGTAAATAATGAGATTTTAAACTAAAATCACTTTTCGGGCGTTATTAGAGAGCTATGTCAACTGGCCACACTGCCACCATATTTTCAGAATACAATTTAGCAATCAGCAAAGGCCAAGCTGAAGGATCATCTCAGTTATCTAACTCGAGCAGACGAATGGGATAAGAACTCTTGACAGATGTCCATAGAATCAATAACTCATTTAAACCTCCCATTTACATTTTTAAAAAACAGGCTGTGGACGCACAAGACCATTTGAATAATCTTCCAATATAAAGGCTTGGAAGGACACGGCGTTGTTGCCATCGCCCCAGGGAGACCTAAGGCGCATACTGACACCCACGGCAATAGCTTACTTCCTCCTTCATTAAGCTCTCCTTCCTAAACACTGATCCCATCCATCTGGTGCTACGTCGTGTGGTCCTCGGTTCCCTTCTTCCTCCTCTTCCAACTTCCTCATGTAGCAAGTGTTTTCATATGGGTCAGTACCAAGTAACTTTCGTTTTACTGGTAATTTCGATTAGTTTTCATGTAAGCCCATTTGCTACATACCTGGAAGGTTCGATCAGTGGACTTAATTCGAAAATTTTTTCTATAACTACACATATAAAAAGCTGCAATTATCATTTCTTGTTCCAGATCTGCGACTGGGATTCATGATAATATATAATGGCTAATTTTGTTCCATTAGCTTTCCATAGATTGTTGGAACTACGTAAGGTTTTGCGGCTTGACCAGTCCAGCTCTTAATTTCTTGTTTGTACTTCTACACTCATGAAGCTTCAAGTTAATTGAAGTTGTTTAGGATTTTTCTCTAAACCGTTATTGCTTGCCTAATTGTCTCTTATCTTCCAGTGATAGACATGATTTAATTTAATGGAGACTTTTTCGATGCTAATGTCCTGAGGTGGCACTAGTGGGATACCCTGTTTCTGATTTTGAAATAAGGTTAGTGTTATATGCAAATCGTGAATTGTCTTCCCGCCTTCTCCCGTACACCGGCCACCCTGCACAAAGTCCGCCCGACCCTCCGACCTGATCTGACCTCCCTTCGCCCTCCTCTCCCTTTCCTCTTCAGACTTGAGGATGGAATCCAGGTGGGTTCCGAAACTGTCGTCTCACTTTCAATAAATTTAGTTTTACATTGTGGGTTTTCCTACCATAGAATCAACACGGTAGAGTGTTTTCACCATTCAAGATGATCTTGGTTTACCGCCCTGGCGAGTACCTCATCCAGAGGTCTCTTTCACTCCAACCTCCGGGAAGACCTTCCGCTCCAGCAAATGCAATTGGCACTAAAGGCCATCGCCAGAGTGTCTGCATCTGTTCCCGCTGACCACCACCTCTACGTCGACGGCTCCCTGCAGACAGACGGGAGCGCGGCGTGTGCCATGTTCTCCCCCATTATGGAGCCGCTGGGGGGCGTGGCGGATGGGTATATTACGGCCTCCTGGATGCTGCCATTCTCCTCCCTCAGAGGGCTGAACGGAGCTGTGATCTGTGACTCTCAGTCTGCCCTACACGTCCTCACATCAATAAGAACATAGTGTCGCAGTGTTGTGCATAAAATACTTTCCCAGCTCTCCATAGCCCACGATAGATCTCTTGTTGTGCGCTTTTTAGGGTGCCTTCTCACGTTGGGCTCAACCCAATGAAACTGTGGACATGCCTGATATATATACCATCCCTCCCTCCGGTGTTACAGAAAATTTCTATACTATGAACATTATGCCTTAATAGTGAATTGTAGGAATATTGAACGTGATAACAGTGTTTCCATCCAACAACACAAAAAAATTGAACTGTGCACACAAATACCGTCGCCATGGGCTCATGATACGCAGACGCAATGTGGTGAGTGCGAGGCTTCGGTTGGGGTCCCGGCTAGTGTAGCAGGTGTCTCAGGCAGAGGACGTGCGAGTATGCATATTCATATAAATAAGTGTGTATATACAATATAGTTCACAACGGTCATGCACCTTTTGTACTTTTGTCCACTGGATGTAATAAATTTATCAAATCAAATCTCTCTCTCTCTCTCTCTCTCTCTCTCTCTCTCTCTCTCTCTCTCTCTCTCTCTCTATATATATATATATATATATATATATATATATATATATATATATGTATATATATATATATATATATATATATATATATATATATATATATATATATATATATATATATATCCCGCTCTCCATCTCTATTCCTATCACTATCTCTGAATATAATGAAGATGCCTTTCACCGTTATCTAATATCTGATAGCTACAAGATATATACACACTGTTGACCTTGAGCCGTGATAACAATGACTCTGAAATAAATAAATTAAAAAAAGGCTAACAAACTCCTGAATTTATAATTTTAATGGCCTCTTCTCCACTTTGACCTGACCTGAACTGACCTCTCTTTGCTTACGTCTCTTTCCATGCAGCATTAGGAAGGTCAAATATTTATGGTATGTT